GCTGTTACCTGTCCTACCTTACTCCTAAACACTGAAACCCAGAAAGAAAAAACAAGGGACAAAAAAACCAAACCATTTTACACTCCTACAAAATTACACATATTTATATTTCAAAGAATCATTGCATTCTAATTATTCACAGTACTGCTATGACTTTTCACTCTACTTTGAATTTCTTCCCCTTAATAGCAAGTCTCCTTGCTTTCTCTTTTAATGTAGCAATACTACAGAATCTAAAAGAAGAAAGGTAAAGAAAGAGAGAAAGAAGGATAGACTGAGAGTGAAAAGCCTGACAACTGTGTAACAAACAAGAACATAGTAGAAAAAAAATGTATTGTACTGAAGCTGAAAATTCTTTTTGAAAAATGTCAGAAGACCAGGTAGATTATTAAGCAATACAGTAAGATAATTATTTGTTTGCCTTGTTTGTACAATATTAACTACCTAATTTGTAAGGCATGGTGATAGAATTTAAATGCTAATAAAATCTTAACTGAGCTGATGTAATCACAACAAAACAGATTTTATATGAGTACATATCCTGTGTGGAAGGAACAAAATACCCAGCAGGACCAGAACCCTGGACTTCCACAGGGCAAACTTTGGTCTCCTCAATCATCTATTAAGGGAAATCCCATGGGACAGGGTGCTAGAAAATAAAGGAGCTCAAGATAGCTGGTCAACATTCAAGGACCACTTCTTGCAAGCACAGGATCAGAGTGTCCCAATGGTTAGGAAATCTAGTAAGGGTGCTAGGAGACCTGCATGGTTAAAGAAGGAACTACTGGGCAAACTTAAGTGGAAAAGGAAAATCTATAGATCATGGAAGGAGGGGCTGGTCACTTGGGAGGAATATAGGACTGTTGTCAGAGGATGTAGGGAGGCAATTAGGAAAGCTAAGGCCTCCTTGGAACTTAACCTTGCAAGTCAGGTTAAGGATAATAGAAAGGGCTTTTTCAAGTACATAGCTAGCAAAACTAGCAATAGAGGCAATATTGGCCCATTGAGGAATGAGGTGGGAGCCCTGGTGACAGAGGATATAAAGAAGGCAGAGGTGCTGAATGCCTTCTTTGCCTCTGTCTTCACTCCTGCAGGGTCTCCCTATGAGCCCCAGATTCATATAGCCCCAGAAGAAGTCAAGATAGAGGAAGAGTTTGACATGGTAGATGAGGATTGGGTTAGGGATCAGTTGAGTAATCTGGACATCCATAAATCAATGGGTCCAGATGGAATGCACCCAAGGGTGCTGAGGGAGCTGGCGGAGGTCATTGCTAGGCCACTCTCCATCATCTTCAGTAAATCATGGGCAACAGGTGAGGTGCCTGAGGACTGGAGGATAGCAAATGTCACTCCAGTCTACAAGAAGGGCAAGAAGGAGGACCCGGGTAACTATAGACCGGTCAGCCTCACCTCCATCCCTGGAAAGGTGATGGAACAACTTGTTCTTGTGACTATCTCCAGGCACATCAAGGACATGGGGGTCATCAAGAGCAGTCAGCATGGTTTTATCAAGGGTAAATCATGTTTGACTAACCTCATAGCCTTCTATGAGGAAATTACTAGGTGGATAGATGATGGTAGAGCGGTAGATGTGGTTTATCTTGATTTCAGTAAAGCATTTGACACCGTCTCCCACAGCATCCTTGTGGATAAGTTGATCAGGTATGGGTTTGGTGACCAGGAAGTGAGGTGGATTAGGAACTGGTTGAAAGGAAGGAGTCAGAGAGTTGTAGTCAATGGGGTAGAATCTGGTTGGAGGTGTGTTACTAGTGGAGTCCCACAAGGGTCGGTGCTGGGACCGGTGTTGTTCAACATCTTCATCAACGACCTGGATGAGGGTATAGAATGTACCCTCAGCAAGTTTGCTGATGACACTAAGCTGGGAGGAGTGGCTGACACACCAGAAGGCTGTGCTGCCATTCAGAGAGACTTAGATAGGTTGGAGAGTTGGGCGGGGAGAAACATGATGAAATTCAACAAGGGGAAGTGCAGAGTTTTACATTTGGGGAAGAACAACACCATGTCCCAGTACAGGTTGGGGGCTGAACTGCTGGAGAGTAGTGTAGGTGAAAGAGACCTGGGGGTCCTGGTAGACAGGAGGATGACCATGAGCCAGCAATGTGCCCTTGTGGCCAAGAAGGCCAATGGCATCCTGGGGTGCATTAGAAAGGGTGTGGTTAGTAGGTCAAGAGAGGTTCTCCTCCCCCTCTATTCTGCATTGGTGAGGCCACATCTGGAGTATTGTGTCCAGTTCTGGGCCCCTCAGTTCAAAAAGGACAGGGAACTGCTCGAGAGAGTCCAGCGCAGAGCTACGAAGATGATTAAGGGAGTGGAACATCTCCCTTATGAGGAAAGGCTGAGGGAGCTGGGTCTCTTTAGCTTGGAGAAAAGGAGACTGAGGGGTGACCTCATCAATGTTTACAAATATGTAAGGGGTGAGTGTCAGGGGGATGGAGTTAGGCTTTTCTCAGTGATGACCAGTGATAGGACAAGGGGTAATGGGTGTAAATTGGAGCATAGGAGGTTCAAGGTGAATATCCGAAAAAATTTTTTTACTGTAAGAGTGACAGAGCACTGGAACAGACTGCCCAGGGAGGTTGTGGAGTCTCCCTCACTGGAGACATTCAAAACCCACCTGGATGAGTTCCTGTGTGATGTACTCTAGGTGACCCTGCTCTGGCAGGGGGGTTGGACTAGATGATCTCTCGAGGTCCCTTCCAGCCCCTAAGATTCTATGATTCTATGATTCTATGATTCTATGATTAAAAATGTGGCTTTCTGGCCAAACCATGTCATTTCTTTAAGATTAATAGTTTTCTTTAATATGATAAATATTTCAGAACATGGAATTTGCATCACAATCAGCTCCTTAAAGAGTAGGGCTTTTTTAATCTACTGAGGGTCAAACAGGGACGTTTACAATGGAGTACAAAGTTCCACCAAGAGTTCTTTAGGAATGAAAGGTTAAATTGGCTTCCAAGATCTGATCAGCTGTGCTTATGTTTATCTGTGGAAGAGTTTCTCATTCTGCTAAAACGTTTGATAGCAAGGTTGTAGTTATCCAGAAAATAATAATTCAGAGTGTCAAGCTAATATATTGAAGTAAATGTAACTCAAGTTAAATCACAAACATACGTAGAAGCTGATGTGATGCTTTATTTCAGCTACCAACACTGACATCCAAAAGCATTTTTTTCCTTTTCCTTTTTCTAATCACCAAGAATCTATTTTGAAAAGTTTATTAATTAAAAAGTTAAAGGGGGGATGACAAATGTTATATTAAATCAACTCCTCTACACCACTGAACATTTCACATCTTTGTCCCTGGACCATGCCAAAGAGCAGTTTAAGCCTCCTGTTCAAGTATTTGTCAGACACCTTCATTATGCCTCTTTTTTGATACAGAGTTTCCATTACGCAAATACTTCTCAGTTAGATGTTTCTCTCTTTTTTTTCTTTTTTTTGTTTTTGGTCTTGTATTTTTTCCTAGCTAGGGATTAGCAACTTCTAAAGGCATTGCAGTCAAAAAACCATATAAAAATGTCACTTGGCATGATGTCCTTGATTAAGCTCTGTAAAAGGAGGAAATTAAGGATGAGAGTCACAGCTTGCTGCTCTATATTCAATTAGGACTGTCTTCTTTGTGGCTGTGGTTCATGCAGGATGTGCAGTTATCTAATACAGCCCAATTCTGGCAGCAGAACAATTAGAATGCAAAGCATAATTTAAAACAGGCTCTGGCAATACTTTTTTCTTTTGGTTGTGACATCTTCAGCAGACTTAAAACAGCAGTCATCAGATTGTATCCTATGCTGAAATTCCAAACTCATATTCTGAAACTGAATGCAGCTTTTAAAATACATAATGATGTGACAATTGAATATGATATGACTGAAGAAAGCAAGTGGAGATGAGCTTTGATGCCTACACAAGCATATATGTAGAAATCTAAAACAAAAATGAATGCTATATTTAAGCACAACATCCTAAAACTGACCTCTGATCTGTGGTGCTCTCTAAACATGCTCTTTGTCAACTAATAGATCAATAATGTGCTCAAGAAGTGCAATGCTCAAGCACACCACCACCAATAATAAATCTTGCACATTTCCCTTCTTTTGTGTGACTCTCTTTTAGCAAAGATTATAAGAATCTGGCAGGATTTTCCTACCTAACAATTATCATCATGCTTTCTCCCCAGTTGGTCTGCACAGCTTCCTGATGAGGTGGACTTGCTGCAGAGTATAGCCCAAAGTCAAGTCACACACACATTAAAATGCCTCTTCCTACACACTTCCACTCTGGGGCTATTTTTAAGCAGCCTTCTGTTTCACTGATGATAGCTCAGGTACTTCAGTGGCAACTTGAACTACCAGGTGAAGAAAACACAATATCCAAACCACTTCCACCTCCGGAAGTCTGTAAATTGCCTCCTGCCAAGAGCTAGGTAAATATACTGGAGAATATAACTCTGGTTTTTACTTTTTACATTCTTTC